AGTTACTCACATAGTTGATGCTGCCAGTGAAATCCTGTGTTTGCTGTTGGGTGCTGAAACGTCTCCCTCATCATCTCTCTTCCCCCCCCCCACTGTACTCCCTGTTTTGGCGTACTTAGCCATCATCAGGGGAACTGCCATGCCTTCTGAGCTACTGCGATCAATACCGAAGGAGACAATACATGTCACGTAGAAGGAGGAACTGCATTGACTCTGTTTAAGAATGCTATAAATGCAAAAACACAGATCACAGTGTCACACAAGGCACAGCAGTTCCCAAGCATTTCATCTTCACCTGACGATGGCTCAGTAGGCCGAAACATGTAGTGAAGTGATGATTTTTAAAGAGGATTTAATTTTTAATCTTGATATTGTTGCATGTCGGGTGTTAAAAAAACTGAAGATTTTAATATTCGTTTGTTGATTTTGTGTTTGTTTAGATAATTATTTAGCCAGTCAGTCATTTAGATGGTTTGGTTTTGTTCCATTCGGTTTGGTTTGAATAGCCGTATGTATATTAACCGTTGAAGGTTTTGACAGATATGTATGATGTTACAGTTGATACTATGGTGAACAACAGACTGGCCCGACTGGTCCAGAATTTGACCCACATTGTGTGTCACCAGTTGGATGCCCCAGAAACAGCTGTTGAGATGCCCATAGAATCAATCAATCCTTGGATTCTGCTCCAACAAATATTGCAGCAGTGAGTGTTATCCAGACAAGGCACAGTCCATATATTTCTCTATACAGGTTCCCACACAAACAGAAGGGAAGTGCTGTGATTGAAGGTTAGCTAAAGGGTTCGGTGTTGCCATGAGAAATGGGGTTGTTACGATAGTGGATGTAAAGATTTCTGTCTTGTGAGATATGAGGGTATGTAATCCTGTAGGTCTTTGTCTCCATCTTCAGGGAAGAAGAGTACTCCCTGATTCTGAATATGTAAGCAGCAAGTTTTTCCAAATTTTGGTAATCGTCTACCAGACTGTACAGTGTTACCTCCTAGAGAAAAGGGCATACAGTAGTGTAGTTGAGGTTGAGGCACTATGCTACAAGCTGGAAGGTCGCAGGTTCGAGTCTTGATGAGGTGGATTTTTTCAATTTACCTAATCCTTCCCGTGGCACTATGGCACTAGGTTTGACTCAGCCTCTAACAGAAATGGGTACCAGGAATCTTCCTGGGGCGTAAAGGGCAGCTATCGTGTAAGGCTGACAACCATACTGCCATCTGTGAGCCAATTGTCTAAAGAAAATGTTTCAGCCTCGATGTCTCACAACCCAATGGGCCCTCATGGCCTGTTACAGGCCTTTTTTACATCCTAGAGGATTGTGATCTTCTTTTGAATATATCTGTACAGGGCTATTGAAAATGACGTGGATGCTAAGGAATTAGTGTATTTTCGAAATGGTTACAGATCCAAACATGTAGCTACTTGAAAACAGAATGGAATCTCATAACGTTTGTTTGATATGTGCTCCATTAGTTACTCTACAAATGTCAGCATGATATTCAAACTTCCTATATACACCACAAGTGTGACTCTTGTGAGTTTTGCCCTTAAAGGACTGGCATCGAAGGTTAGTATACTTGATCTATCACATATTCCCATACATAGCGGTTCCATGAAGTAAAGTCCAGAGGGTCTAGGGGGCTAGAAGTGGGTCCTGCTCCTTTTTTTCCAAGCCCTTTGTATTTGAGATGCCATTTTCCTTTGATAGTGATTGGAGCGGCATGTTAAAAGCAGTGTTGCCGATGGAACATTAATTGAGTCTTTTTTTTTTTTTTAGTTGTTTCATTTTTGTATCGGTAACTGTATGGAGAAGACACTAAATTCTTGTTGCCCAAGTCAGTTGCAGCAGCACTGTATAGTGCAGGTTCAGTGTGTCACCTGCTTCCTCACTGTATGCTGCATGCTCTGTTGTGACAGGAAAGAAGAGAAAGGGAAGTTAACGTCTGCTTCAGATGAAGATGAAGAGCGAGAGGTTGTCAGGAGTGGGGAGTTGCCAGGCTATATCTCAGTGTTATTTACTGCTCATGACTTTCTTGGAAGGTAAGTAAGTTCACAGTATTTAGGGGGAGACAAATGTGCCTATGCTTACCAACAGAAGTGAAAGCTGGCCCCTAGAAATGAAAGATGAAAATATGCTCTGAATCTTTGAAAAATGAGCATTAAGAGTAATTTATGATGCAATTAAGGAAAATGGTGTGTGGAGATCAAAGTATAACCATGAACTTTATAAATTATACAGAATGTCGCAGGAGGAAATGTCAGTATTCTGGGAGGTCATAGTATCAGTCATTCTAAACAAATAAGTGTATATGTCCATGCGTCCTATTCCAAACGGGGTCTACAGTAGAGTAGTGTGGATTGGCACTCAATATTATCCTTTCCTCCTACACAGTGAGCCACTTTCTGAAGCATGTGAATCAGTGTGAAGCTGTTGTGGCTGTTGATAGACCTCGTAGAAGTTTTGTGAAAAAAGCCGCACATCTTCACAAATGTCAAATGTGTCGATGTGCTTGTATTTATGGCTTCTTTGTTGGCAGTGCCACTGCTGCTGTTTGAAGAATATGGTCAGTGGTTTCCTATGTGCAGAGTTCCAGTTCGTAGAGTGTGTTCCAAGGTATTCAATACATTGCATGAACGTGGTACACTTCCCACTGTTCATGTTTAATCTGAACAAACATGTAAACAACATGTGGAGAAACAGGGAGACATTCTTGAAATGGTACAGCATAGCCCTGCTACTAGCATGCAAAGACTTTCTACATGTCTCAGTGTTATGTGTATGTTGAGCATTACATGATGAAGGCTTATTATACCCATTTCACCCCAGCATATGCAAAATCTACACCCAGGGGACAGTGCCATGCAGAATTTTGTCATTGGTTACATACTAATTTCCAATTTCTTCCATTAATACTGTTCATTTATGAAGCTACTTTTGCCCATAACAGAATCAGCAACATGCATAACTCACATCAATGGTCTGACAACAATCCACATGGTATAGTGGAAACAAATTTTCGGTATCGTTTCTCTCTCATTATGTGGTATGGTATGATCGATGACATGTTGCTTGGGCCATTTATTTTAGATGATCATGTGACAGGACGTAATTACCTAGACTTTCTGCAAAATGGATTAACAGATCAACTGGAGGATGTTGTTTTGACTACACGGATTGCTATGTACTTCCAGCATGACAGAGCCCCTCCTAACTTCTGATACGATATCTCAATGACAATATCCCTGATGGGTGGATTGGTTGTGGCAGGACCATTACCTGGCCACCAAGATCTGCAGACCGAACCCATTTTGATTTTTGTTTATGGGGTTACATGAGGAGTGATGCGTAGAGAAGAAAAGTGGGTGCATGAGACAAACTGCTCGATCACATAAGAATGTTGTTGCCTATATAAAGGAATGTCAAGATGCACTCAGACAAGTAACATGCCATGTCTTTAGACAAGTTCCAAAGTGCACTGATGTTGACAGTGGAATTTTGAAAAATGTATTATACCTGGTAAAGAGCTGGGATAGCGTAGTTGATATAGCAACTGGCTATGGACTGGATGATGGGGGGGGGGGGGGGNGAGTCCTAATAGGGTCAAGAATTTTGTCTTCTCCACGTCTTCCAAACTGTCTCTGGGGTCCACCCAACCTCCTATCCAGTGGGTACCAGGGTGTGAAGCTGATCTCTCACATCTTACTAGTGCGAAGGTCAAAAAAATGTGGATCTATACATCCACTCCTCCATATGCCTTATTGCTTAATTAATTAAGCACAGGGACAACTTTACCTTTTACCAGGTAAACTGTACCAACTTTGTCACTTGAACAATGAATACCAGTATTATAAACAGTGTAATATCTTTTTCTTATTAACAGTTTTTGGAACTGTACAGTCTTGGAAACCATTGAGAATAGGACACATGTACATATACTCTTTCCTCCCCTCTTAGAATGATCAATACTGTGACCTCCAAAAATACTGACCTTTCCTTCTGGGACACACTGTATAATGAACCAGATCTAGTGAAAGTGATCAAAGTAAGGAGGTTCAAATGGCTGGGACACTTTTTAGAATGACGAACAGAACCCTTGAAGGAAGTTACTGCGTAAACCAGAGGGTACTTGATGAATAGGCAGACCTGAATTCAGGGGACTGAATGTAGTTGAAGATTTGAAGACAGTGGGCATTATAAATTGTAGACAGACGTCACAGGATTGGACCAGTGGAGGAGCAATCATAAAAGAGGCCGTGAAGGAGGAGGAGGGTGAAAATATTAATAATAATAATTTTGAGACAAGATCCAGGTAATTCATAACATAATCTCACAGTATAAAAGATTATTAATGCCATCCAGTGTGATTATAAATGTGTGTTATTTTAATCTTTCATCCTTTATATGTTTTGGTTGGAGCAACCATCTTCAGAAGGGCACTATCAGTACATGCAGAAACATGTTATACACCATAGCATGACCCAAACAACTGGACGACACTAAAGAGTCCTATTCTTCAAACAAAGGAACCAAAACGAGGTGTATATTCATCCTCCTTTAAAGAGATGAAGTATAAAGGACACAAACCAAATTGGTTCTAGATTTTAACAAAAAAAAATTTAAACCATACTTGTTATAGACTAATTATAATAATTTATAATCTTTTAATAAATTCATACACAATCGCAGTAATTGTTAAAGAATTGTTAAATGTTTTATATTTATGACATTGTAATAGTAGTTTCCACATGTAGTGATAATGTCCTTCTGAAGATGGTCACTCTGACTGACACATGTGAAGGATGAAAGGTTAAAAAAACACAACATTTGTCAATCACACTGGACAGTGTTAATAATCTTTTATATTACTCCTAGTGTGATCGGCCAGGATGAACCAAGTCAATCTCACAGCACTGAAGAATAATTACTAAGCTCCTAAAGTAAAATCTCTTCTGCAGACCTTGTTTGTTTCATTATAAATCTGATTTCAGTCTGATGAGAAGGTCCTGAACCGTTTAGCACTCTTCACAAAGATAAGAATGTGTTTTTTGGCATAGTACATTGAAGGAGGTGATAGTACTCTGAATTCATGTTCCTGGAAAATATTTTTTATCATAATACACATGATGAGTTTATTATGTGTTTTACTGTTATATTTATGTAATTATACTCCTAACTGGTTTGAAAACATTGAAATGTGTAACTTTCTAATAGTTGGCATTTAATTTGACAGGAGGTCTTGGTGCTGCAGCAGTGAAGGGGCACTTCTGTTACACACTATGGATGTAGTGATTCCAAGACTGAAAGATGAAAGGTTTATTTCTGTTAGGGACAGATTGAATCAAGGCCTCGAACAGGCCTTCTTCTGCTTGTATGCCCATCCTAATAAGAAAACGAAGGTAATCTTACTCAGTACTTGACTTCACTTCAACAGACACTTCGAAACCTCCACAAATATCTGTCATAATAACTTAAATTGTACCACTTTTGTCTGTTGTCAAAGATATATTTTGAAATGTGTGATGTTTCAGAAGTGTCTCTACTCCTGTCTTCCAATAATCAGTCATGATACTTGGAGATTTTATGTTATACTGCATACATGTTTTTTTAGGGCAGTGTTGAATATCTTTTCTGGGTTTTATTATGACACTGTCAGTAGCTAGACAATGGAACATTGAAATGGTAGGGCAATTGATGAACAGAAAGAATTTGGAAGGTTGTGGTTGTGGTGTAATCAAGGTATCATATTGGCCTTTACCTGGAGGGGCAGAAGAAAACAAAGAAGAAACTCCAGTTAGGGGTAACTGGTGTCCTGGCCAAGATTCAGAACAAGCACCTGTTTGGTTGATTAGTGGCAAAAGTTTGTGATTTAACCTGGTACCTTTTAGGTGCTAAGACCATTCTCTTAACTTCCAGGCCACTGCGGTTACCCAAAAATTGTTATAGCTCCAACTTATGCAATTTTCCATCTCTAAGTACATCTTCTATCTATCTTTGTTCCTGTTGCTCACACTTGGAGCATAGGGCATCCATGAAATGCTTCGTTTCCCTTCAATTTCTTAATTTTAGACAGTTGATAGGACTCATTGGAAGGGGGATCAGCCCATCACAAGGCCATTACCTACACAGGACAACATAAACACAGACAAACTTCCATGACTTAAATGGAATTCGAACTCATGATCCCAGTATTCTAGTAGGTTAAGACATTTTGTACCTTCAACTACATGGCCACTGTGATTGGCCTCCTAGTACGAGACAAGGAAATGTCTATGCTTGGTTGGTGAATGGTTTCTTCTGTTATTCTGTTGAACACTGTTTCCATCAATTTTGTATTATTTGTAGGGATGATTACTGATTTATTTCATTATGTTTAATGGTTGTAATGTGAGGATCATGCTGTTATTTTGAACTTCATGGTATCCTCCATTTTGGTGCTGAATTTGCTAGTTGGTGATTTGGGTTTGAATTAATTGTCTGTCTTTTGTGTATGCACCAAAACATGTAATTAAGGTGTCATATGGGAGCAGTGGATTTGAACATCAAACTCAGTTCTGAAGTCGAGGTACTCGTAAGCTGAGATTTTTGACTGGGGATCATTAAAATTGAGCATTAATTGGTTGAAGCCCCCAAACTGAGTGCCCTGAAGTTGGAATTTCACCAGATTTCCTTCTGCATTTGCGTGGTGATGCTGTGTATGTGGAGGTAGGGTACAATATGATTAGTTGTAACAAGCTTTTCTGGGCTACTGTGGTGATCCAGCGATAGTTTACCAGCCAGTTACTGATAAGGTCCTTTGTTTACCAGCAGTTGCTGCTTATCTGAAAATGAAAGTATAATTTGTTACAGATTACCTGATGATAAAGAGTGGAACTGGTTTCTGAAATGTGTATGTCAGATGTGTCTCACAGAAGTGGACAGTGCCTGACATACTCTCTTACTGAATGAATCATTGGCACATACTTAGATCAGAATAACCTGAAATTAAATGCAACATTAAAGATATAGTAAAGCGGAACTCACATGTAATGTCCCTTGATTTAGTCCCTTGCAAATGCCAAGTGTGGAAAATTTTGACCCTTGCACAAATTGCTGTATTTAACAGTATGTGATATGCTTTAGCATTTTATATGAACTACATAGTCCAGAAACATTTGGCAGGAATTATTTGCTTAGGGAGTTTACATATAATAATTCATAATTTTATTTAACATCCGTAAACAAGTACATTTGGACAAGTCAGTTAAAACCATCTAAACACTACCAAGTCAGCAACTAAAAAATGTACAAAATGATACACAAGACAAAGAACAATAGAGTCATCTTAGGATCAACCCCCCTCCCCCCCCCGCTGAAGCTTAGCAACACTTGATGACAACCCCCAACAATTTAATATAAAGCAACACATTCACTTAAACTATTTATATTCATCCACACCACATTGAAACCAACCTGAGCCACCAAACTACTGTCCATCACTATTACTAAAAAAACTCCTGCAGAGAATAAAAACAGTTCTGTAATAAATAACATTTTAATTTATTTTTTTAAACTTTAAAATTTTCTAATCTTTTTAATTCAAGGGGAAGCTGTTATGTATTTCAATTCCAATGTTAATTACACTTTTTTGCAACAAGCAGTGTTGCATAATTGTACATACAAATCCTGTTTTGCTTTATTTTATTTTTATTTTATTTATTTATTGCATTCAAAGATCGGTGTACTCATATCATAAGCAATAGCAAAATGACATACATTTAGTAATGTATATGTGTGTGTGCAACAAGCCATCATAAAATAAATGTTGTCAGTTTTGTATACAATATCTGTAATTAAAATAAATCTACAAGAACATAAACCCAATTACAGAATTATATGTAATAAAACAATATACCAATTAAAAATCTCAATCTATGGTTTAAAACAATCTATTCATTCTTGTTGCTACTAAAACTCTCTTTTTCCTTACTTCAGTCATGTGTTATACTTGTGATTGTCAGAATAATGAGTTGCGGAGATCGTCTTTTTTAAAAAGCACAAGATCTCGTTTACAATTATATATATTATATAATTACTCATAAATTCTGCAGTACTTGGACTTTGTGCTCTAGGATTAAGGTTTTCCTTCAAACAGTCAGTTTCGATAATGTCTGTGGTGAACTCAAAACATATCTTATAGTATTTACATGTATGGTTGTGGAATCTAGTAAGCTGGTTAATCTAATCCTACTAATCCTGTTCATCCTGGGTTGGGCCTTACTTGTCTTAGTATCAGTTTGTTCCACAGGCTCATGTGCAATGCTTTGAAGTTTTACACTACATTTTTCAGCCAATGTGGTCATCATCAGGTGTTAAAAATTATGGCTGAGGAAACTGCTGTCTTCTGTATCATTGATTAGGTTGTTAATATATAGCTCCCTCAATGTGCATGTATGTATCATGTATAAATTCTTCTGTTAGAATTCATGTATGTGAAGTTTGTTATATGTCATATAATTACATGAAGTGGTGAGTTATGTTCCTTCCTCTTGTGTTATATTGCATGTCTTGTTTTCAAATTCATGCTGAGTTGAACTGGTTCTTTCTTGTATAATGTGTATGTGTTGCTATCTAGTGTTTTATTCCTTCATTTCCTTGAATATCAGGTTATAGATGTTGATATATGGGGTGGCTTGACTGTCTGTTAAGATGAGTGCATGGTCTTCCATGTAATCTCTAATAATATTGAGATTGTCTCGGGCATAGTGCCCAGTGGCACCTCCTAAAAATTTCTGTCGAATGGCTCTTGCATATCCCCAACTTAGGGTATATAATAGCTGACTTCTACATGTCAGCAGCTTCCTAATGACCTGATTCTTTTGCTTCCAGGCTCATGTCCTTGCCACCCAGTGACCATCCCATGTCAACCTCATACAGTGACCACTGGCTTCAACTGATAGCTAACAACTCAAAATTGACTCATTATGTAGCCCTAGCATGGACCGCATAGAAAACATTCCTTCCAACAGTTCCTCCATTGTTGCATGTGTACATTGCTTAGTGATGGCTCATGTGTTTATATAGTCATTGCTTAGCAATGGCTGTTTCTCTGGCTCCATTGTTTTAGCTGTTAGGCCTGATGTCACACTATTTTGTAATCTCTTTTTTGGAGTGTGCTTGAAGCTCATTATATCAACATGTCCTTTCCAATTTCTTTTGTTTTTTATATAAATTCTGTTGTTTATACAGTTATTATTTCTGCCATAATTTCTTCATTTCTTTCACAGTCTAGAAGAATGTATCTTGCAGTATTCATGAAACACTGCAGTTATTGTCAACACCATATGTTGTAAATGACTGTTAGAATCACCATTCTATGTACATTAAGTACCTGTTAGGCTAATATATTGTGACGTGTTGCGCAATGGAGGACAACCCCTCACCCTGCCAGCAGTGACGTAACACTTTCGGAGCGTTGCTGTTGCTACGGTAATAAGCCAGTCAACCCCCCCCCCCCCTCCGCGTTGACGTAACACGGGATGCCGCCGTTGCTACACAGCAGTAAACAATTCCCGACAGTGTTGCTAGCAACACGGCACCAGACAACAGTGGTGCCTATTACGTGGCTGTTTTCTGTGTTGTCCAGAACGAGGCTAAATAAGGAGCAGCAAAAACCATTCACAGTTAGTTCTCGAGTTATGAGTTCTCAAGTTCTCAAGGCAGTAGTTTACGAGATAGTTACGAATTGGCCAGGGAAGAGTATGCAGTGTAGTAATTGTAATACTGCAGATAGCAGTAATTGTGGATCTGTAATTTGTGTGATTGTAAGAGTGAATGTGAAATAAAATTCGCTACATCCAATAAGGCGTGAAGTTATTTGTCGCGTTATACACCCAACACGTGACAATATTAAATAAAAATAAAATGCATTAAATTTATTTTCATAATATCGTGATATAATATTATAAAGTAAAATTGTAAGATGTAATTAACTGACCATCATTATCAGTTTATTTTTTTTCCTTTCCAATTGTAAAGCTAAGAATTTAAGGTTTAATATACCTCATTAGGTATAATTATTTTGTAAACAGGCACGCTATCTTCAAGATCATGGTGTCCCACAGATCCCCTTGACCTGGGCTCGAGGCATGCAGTTGTATCAGTTCTACTTACCTGATGAACTGCCAGAATTTGATTCCTATCGAGTTACCAGCATCACATCTGACGTAGAATGTTTGCTGAAAAGGATTGCTGCTTTAGTGCCTTCCCAGTATAGTCCAGGTGATATAGTCAGTAGTGCTACTTTGCTTTTCATGAAGATGAACAGCCCCATAGAACAGCATATGGTGATTGTTGGAGTGTGTCTGACAAATTTTTAACCACTTGGTTGATTTTCATGAAACACATTAGGAATATTAAGTTGTTGGATCTCATCCAAAGGCCACACAATTTAAATTTTAAAGGGTTTTGACATGGTATGTAACACTCAGGATTACTGGGTTTTTTAATTTTGTACATCATCTTGTATTCTAAAAGACGCTAAAGAACACAACATTTCAGATCCTGGATCTCTTTCCAAGCTCAAATGAGTGGGTGGGATATGCCCACTCCATTTGGTCCATTAGAAAGAGCTAACCTCAATCACTTGATATAGTGTTTCTTAGAATGCAGGATGATGGACAAAGCCCGGCAACCCAGAAGTCCCGAGCCATATGTTTCCGCTCCTTATCTTTAATACCTGTGTGGTCAGCCATGCAGATATTTTAGAAGGAAGCAATGTTAATTCCACTCTTTACCTTCTGAAATGTTGTGTAATGAAATGTCTGTGAACTGTTTTGTTTCGTATTACGAGAAGTATCATTAGGGCTTCTACATGCACAGTTATGTATAGCAGGTTCATCTTATCTCTTAAAATGTGTAACTTCATCATGTGTTTATCAGCCACTTCATTATTATCTTGATGTATGATATAATCCACATGAAAAGAAATGCTGAAACTGGTTCATGCAGGGTTAAGCCAATGTAACAACTTAAACTTATAGCAGTAAAATTTCATAATACTGTGACATGTTGCGCAATGGAGGACCCCTACCTCCCCAGCGGCACGTGGTGGTAACGTAGCGCTCCCTCCCCCCCTCCGCGGTGACGTAACCAATTAACAATCTCTACGGTGTATTCAGTAACGAAACACGTTACAATACTGTCACTTGTAAGGGTGACTGTTGACAGGTTTTGGATTTGATTTATTGACACCTTATGCAAATCACTCAGAACTACAGTTAATTACAGTGTTACCACTGATCAGCACACTTAGGGTTCTCACTCTTCACTAGTCATATCCTGACAATGTATATATAACAGTCTCACTGTCACTGCAGCACCCATAAAGTTGTCTTTGCACAGCCTGATTCCTTTCTTTCAGTCTCTTCTCAGTCATCTCTGACTGCTGACTCCCTCGATTCTGATTCTAGCTGGTCTGTAATCCTTGTTATATAGCCTTCAGGCGGACTCACATAATATTCCATTTCCATTGTTATTCCAACAATACCTAAATTGTTGCTTGCATATTCATTGCTGGAGGAATATGTTTACTGAGAGGTTACCTAGCAGTGAGTTTCTACTCTGACTGCTATTCCAGCTTTCAGGCATCATGTCACAATACATTTTATTTATAGAAGTGTGACCAGGAAGTTATATTTGTATTAGATACTCAGTTTAATTGAGATCCTATTTATTGTTTATGTAAATTGGCATATTATATCAATATTTTTATAATTTTCAGGGGCTCTGACATTACCATATATCTGTGTTTTGAAGTATGTGGTAACTTCAGAAAGTTCCAGGGTAGGAGCCATATCTTGAATTCTGTTGATTAAAAATACTCATACCTTCAAATACCTTCCAATAACTTAAAAGTACTGTCCTTCAACAGTTACATATTTCTACCAGCATTTGTACAGTTTGCAGTATTTATGGAAGCCACAAAGTGCAATTGTCTATATCCTTCAAAGCTATTTGAATTTCTGCAACACTCCTAAAGTGACAGCCCTTCAACTGGTCCCTCACCCATGCAATGGGGTGAAAAATCATATGGTTTGAGATCCTGAGAGTATTGTTGGTGGGGAACACACAGTTCTGTACTTTGTGATTTGCTGCTTCTGCAGACAGCGATCAGTGTACTAGGACTCAGTCATGAAAGAGCAATTAGTATATGGTTCTCCTTTTAGTAGACTGGCTGATGCCTCCTTGTGCAAGATGCAGTACTCATCAGATAATTTCAGTACCATTTTCCCTTTAATATATTCATACTAAAAGTTTATGGTTCTTTTCATTGAGAGTCACTTCCACATGGAGGGTTATTGTTTACTCTAGGGACTGTGCAGGGAACCCTGATTCTGTCAGTCTATCAGTCTTTGAGAGAATGGCTGGATTTGCCACATTGGGGTGTTCACCATTGATCTTTATGTAGTTGTTTTTTGTTCCTGGCTCAGACTTGTTTGTATATTGTGTTGGCAGACACAGCGCGTCTTAAGATTGTTACTGAGGAGTGTAGGTCTGTGTCATAGCTCGGGCACTTAGCCACCAGCTTTCTACTGTGGCAAGGCCAAGTCGCACTGGGGCAGGTTTTCTCCAAGTACTTTGGTTTCCCCTACCAATTCTCATTCCACCAAATGCTCCATACTCATCTGTCACCTGAAGCTGGTATAACAGGCTCACTAGTGGCCAATTGAATCAGGCTCACGCCATCCTGGTGAATTTAAAAAAGATTACTGAAGATGACTTGACCACCTCTGAGGTCTAGTGGTCAGTGTACCTGGCTACAGGTCCAGAGGTCCAGGTTCAATTCCCGGCACTACCAGATTTTTTCCGGAGAAGTAGTGGGTCTGGAACCGGGTCCACTCAGCCTTGTGATGATAATTGCGGAGCTATTTCAAGGAAATAGCGGCTCCAGTCTAGAAAACCGAAATTAATGGCCATGGGGATTCGTTGCACTGACCACACGACACCCTCTATTGCAAAAGTTGGCACTAAACTTCGCCGACAAGCGGCGGTTGCTTGGTTGGTATGGTTCACTTGTGGCCTGAAATCATGGAGTGTTTTTTTTTGTTATGATGACTTACTTACTCTTTGACTCTACATACCCCTGAGAACCTTGGCCTCTTTTGTGACAGATTCACATTCCTTTTTATTATTTGTTTCCTGCCTCCATCTCTTCATTTCTAGTTCTCATATATCATTCTCTGCATCTTATTTCCAATTTTTTCATCCACCTTCAGGCTTAATATAACAGAACTGTTTTTTGCCATTGTTCCATTTCAATCACATGCCCCAGCAACTCTGATCTTCTCCTTTTTAATATCTGCTACAAGACAAAGGGCAACCTCACCAAACAATATTCAAGCTTTCTGAGTATTTATCTCTACATTGTGACAACAATCAGACCTCGCAACATCCTGCAGCAGTTTCACCTTGTCCTCATTCTACATTACTTTCCTCCAGGATGCTACTTTGGCCACAGGACTGTGGGACCCCAGGTGGAGAAGACAAATGACCAAACCTAACGGAATTATGTTGGATAAGTGGATTATGTAACTCATCAGATTGGGTCCAGATAGGTTAAAAGCACAAATGTCTTAATCATCGAAGTGCAGTGGTAGAAACCAACAACAGTGTTGCAGGGCCTTCTCAGATAATTCACAAATGTCCTTGAACTAATGATGACACTCAAAAGATGTTGAACTGAACGTCAGTTTTTCTTTTTTCTGTGCATTAGCAAAGCTTCTGTAGCATTTCAGTCATCAGTTTTAGCAATTACTGGCAAAATTTTATGATAAGCTGCTGCAGATGGTGTTTCATTTTCCCCTTTTAGAACATTTCTTAGGAGCCTGTTAGTGTAACAGCAGCTGAATTTCCCCATAATCATATTTAGGAGGCTTCAGCCTACCTGCTACAATGTCACTGCTATATGCTGTTGCCCTGGGACATTTCTGAAGGTACAATACATGTCATTTCACACTGTGTACAGATACAGCACTGTAGCAATAATGATATGGATTGTGTTATTTAAAGCACATCTGGTGGAGAAAGTGATGGCATATATTGATGGGACCAGTCCCATTTTCCCTGTATTAGGAGATGCACGCAGTCAGTTGCCTCGCTCAATGTCAGCGATCTACTATCTCTTGGCTGACTATTATTTCAAAGTCAATGAATGGGTGAGTAACGAGGAGTGTAAACTGATCATTTGCACAATCAGTCTCATAGAGTGATAAAAGGTACTTTTTACGCCTTTACTAAGGGGCATGAAATAGCATAGTTGGTTGAGGCAAGCCAGAGGGTCACAGGTTCAATTCTCAGTGAGGTCATTGGATTTTTCAATTTACCTAATCCTTCCAGCCACATTATGGCCCTGGGTGTTAATGGCAGCTGGCACATAAGGCTACCAACCTCAACACCATCTGTGAGCCAGTTGTCTAGAAAATGTGGGAACCTTGTGGGCTTCTATGGCCTGTTACTGGGATAGCTTTACTTTTTCTTTTTCACTATGATATAAGATGGTAAAGGTAAAGCTAAAGTTATCCCTGGCCTTAACTAAGTAAGTACCATGCCATGAAGACACATTGGAGAGTGGAAGTACAGCTCCACCATTCTTAACCTTGGCACTAGATGGAGATGAGTGGTCAGCTTCATGCCCCTGTCACTTTAACCCTGGGGAAACAGCCCCAAGTACCCATTGTATAGGAAGGTGGGAGGGCCTCAGAGTCAGTCTGGATGTTTTGGAGATGAGAATCTTTACTGGGAATCGAACCCTGACTTTTCGTTTTACAGCCCATAACCTAGTCACTATGTGTCTTCACTATGTTATTGGTTACAAAAATTGTAAGGATTCTGCCATAACTGACAAGTACTTGGGTGGCAGAACCAAAAGTGTCAGTGCCACTACAAGTCTGCCATTGGAGATGATCCTGAACCAGGTCCATCCTCCTCCTGTCATTACTACCCATTTCCATAGGATCCATCTTAATTTTATTTTTACATCTCCCTTTTTTCCAAATAACCATTTTCCTAGAGGTTTCCAGAGCAAAATTTTGTAATGACAGCAGCTGGAATATTCAATAAAGATTGCTTTACATATTAATGTCATTTGTATTGACAGTAGAGATATTTGTACACTGTATTTGAGACTTGTGTAGGTTCACAGTGAATTTGAATTACTGTAGTATTTTAATTTCTAAAGTTAACATTTATGTTTGTCCATACTCTTCCAAGGAAATAGGTTGTTGTAAGAGGTTGATGCTGCTATTTCTAGAGCAAACCATTGACCCTGGTGCCAATTTTGGGACCAAGCGAAATATCAGCTGACATTTAGCTTACTGGGGCCATTTGAAAATCCAGCAATTCACCAAGCTGAAATTCTTTTTCGTATAATACATATTTGCTGTTACATTATGTGTCCACCGTGAATACTGAGAAGTGTCATTATTCAGAGAACATGTCCATTATTTTGAAACCTAATGCATAAATTAAGATTTATGAAGCTTTCTCACAGATGAAATGGGTGTTCTTTATGTTGTTCTGGAAACCAGAAGTGTAAAATTTAGGAAATGTGACAAATGTGCAGCAGCAGACATGTCGTTAAGCTCACCAGCTGATGTAAATCTGCCACTAAGTAAGAAAAACATTTGCCCTCTGTGTTGTAGAATCTGAATTAACTTTATATGTTATTGTAATTATTTTATTAGCAGAATGCCATATCCCACATTATTATCTTAATTATTTTACATGCCTTTTCTGTGCTTGAGTTACATCTCATAATCTTTGATAATAATTTGAGTAAAATTACTCATGCAATGTTATGTAGATTATCCAGAAGGTAAGTTCCAGTGGGCTATTGAAAAAAGGAAACAATTTATTTCCAAACCATTTATATTTCCATTTGATTTACATACCATACACTACTTTTTGACATAGTTTCTACCATTGTTGAGGCCCTTGTAGCGGGGCACCTATTTTTATATCCCTGCATCATAGAATGATGCTGCCTGTATTGCAAACCATGTGTCAACGGCTTCTTTCACCTCCTTGTCATCGTGGAACTGCCGGCCATCAAAGAAAGTGTTCAGATGCAGGAACATATTGGGGCTAAGTCTGGGCTGTAGAGGGTTGATCGAATTATTCCCAGCTAAATGTGGCAATGAGATCTTGCACTGTGGCAGCAGTATGTGGGCAGGCATTGTCATGAAGCATCACAACACCCCGACTAAACATGCCACGTCACTTGTTCTGGGTCGCACAATGCAATTTCTTAAGTGTGTCGCAATAGACACCTGCTTTGATTGTTGATCCGTGAGGCAAGAATTCCACACGCAGAACATGTTTTCAGCCCCAAAACACTGTGCACATGATCTTGTGATTTAAAATGGTCTGTTTGAAATTTTTCTTTATTGGTGATGATGTTTGCCTCCACTCCATCGGCTGCTGCTTCAATTGAGGGGTAATGCGCAACTCCCATGTCTCATTCCCTGTGACTGTGCAGCTCAAGAAGTCATTGCCTTGCTCACTGTATTGTGTCAGAAAGGTCAACGCAATAGCCTGCTGTTTCATTTTGTGCTCTTTTATGAGCGTCTTCAGCACCCAGCATTTACACAGTTTCCAAAATCACATGTGGCTGGCTTCTCAATTTTCTTGAACATGTAAACACACAGGATAATGCGCACATGTAGCTCAATTGTCTACAAATGGCTTCCATGCCTTCCCAAAGGACCAGCAAACTATGTACGCATGTGCACCATCGTGATCGCAGTGCTGCAGTGGCAATTTTTGCAAGCGGAACTTATTTTGTGGATACGCCTTTTATATTTCACTCATTAGAGTAAATAGATGTGCATACGTGTCCATGTAAGAAATTCAAGTATTCTAAGTAAAAACAAGTGACAAATTTTGACACCTGTGATTACTGAGCCATGTGATTAAATGCAAACAATAAGTAAAATATTAAAAACAGATTGTTTGTTGCAGGGCAAGGCAATTAGACACTACCTACTTGACGTGTGTGTCAATCCTGTTCGCATTGACTCCTGGGCAGGGATGGCCCTTGCACGTGGCAGTCAGCTGGAAACTAAACTTAATTCTGTAAGAAAATAGATGTAGATGACAGTTCATGTATTGAAATCCCCTTTTGAGGCTTCTTTATGGAGCAGGGGATTTGAATATTGAACAGAGGAAAGTCTTAAATGGAGAAAATTTAACATTGATATTATTGACTTGGAATCATTGAAATTGAATGTTAAAAGAAAGAAACCCCTAAATTGATAGGCATTAAATGGGAGGACGACTGTTATGTTATATTCACTTCAGTGAATTTCATGTTTGTTTTCAAGTATTTATAAGTAGGCTAGTGAGGTACAGCTTATTTGTCCCTGTCAAGTAATGTAAAAGAGATTAGCTTCTTTTCTGTGTTAAAGAAACTCTGAACAAATCTACTATCTATCTTCCTTTTGCTCCGACTTGGACCACCGGACATCTGTGAAACACTTCATTTCACTTCAGTTTCTTAATCTTAGACATTCGATAGGACTCCTTGGACATGGATCAGCTCATCTCAAGGCTGCTATCTGTACAGGACAACAAACAGAATAAACACAGATAAACATCCATGCCTTGAGTGGGATTAGAACCCATGATCCCAGCATTCGAGTGGAAAAGAGACTACATGGCCACTGTGATCGGCAACAAATCTGCTGTAAAATATTAAATGTGTTTGACCAAATATAGCAGCTTGAAATTACTTTGGACCTTCATGTAAATTTTGCATCAGAAGTTGTGAAGGCAAAGACAAAGTGACAGACACACATGACTGAACTCACATATACAGCATTTTCTTTGTGTATAGAAAGCCTGAAAATTTCTAACAGGTTAAGTAATTTCTCAGTATTGCATGTTTTATGCCCAGTGATTGTGTTTAACTCTTTTAACAGATTGAACAGAGTAGGTGTCTCCCACTCCCCCTCACCTGAGGATGGAAACAGATCCAGTTGCTGAAGCATTGCATTTCTTAGGGTTCTTTGCAGTACCAGATGGTAGACAAAACTCGAAGAGTCCCAGTAATCCTGAGTGTATGGCTACTGTTTATTTAAAGCAATTAAGCCAGATTCAGTGAGGCCGTATATAACTTATTTACCATCCTCATGTGCTGAAAGTTACCCATGTTCCATAAACTTGAAAACTTTAATACAAGTTTGTGTCGTAGTGTGAACCATTGAAGAGTGAGATGGAATTTCTGCGTCAAGCGTCTGCAGCTCAGCGTTGCTTTCAGCGCGCTCTCGATATTGAGGCTTCCCATTCATTAATGTGGATTGAATATGGTTCCTTTGTCTATATGGTGCATTCCTTCTGTTCCCGGTTGCTGAAACAGGTAAGGAACAGGGACAGTTCATGCTTTATTCATTTCTCATGTTTATGAACTTCATCTGAAGAAAAATGTTCTGTGGCAAATTATTAAAAATACTCATAGTAGGTGTTTACTGTTTAAAAATTCATGGCAAATAGTTTACATAAGTAGATTCTAAAAGATTCTGATGATGGTGTATAACACTTGGAATTGCTGGATTTTTTGGGCTATCCATAGTCTGGTAGTCTAAAGAAGAAAAAACTAGAGAACACAATGTTGCAAAAACTGGGCCTGTTTCTGAAACATTATGGTCTCTCCCCCCCTCCCCTCTATAGAATGCCAGATGATGGACAATGTTTAAATAACTAGTAATTCCGAGTTTACATAATGTTGTGGTCATGAGAAGAATTGTATGTAGGTACCAGCATTTGGGAGAAACTTGCTGCTGCCTTCTTAAGCACAGAAGAATGTGGCAGTGGGTTCCCCCAAAACATTCTTACCTGTCTACTAGATTACGTGGCACCATGTCCCAGAGAGCCATAAGCTTGACACACTGCTAAGGATATACTTATTTCTTGGTAGCAAATGGAATAAGTAGGTGTACAAATTTGAATGAGTTCTATAGAAGAAACTGATTTACTGATTGATTGATTGATCATTTAAGGGCTGGGCCAAGGCCATGCCATGCCATAGCTGAGGCTGTTAACAGTTGGCTCTCTACCACAGCAGCCCTTATTTGAGCCCAGATCAGATCCTATGGGATTTGTATTGGACAGCTTTTGTTGAGGAAAACAAAAATTAATGTCGAATGTTGCTATTAATAAAAAGTGTACTTCAAAAAGGGGAACTGGATAAATTGTCTATGAGTATAGATGAGATTCACCAGTTCTGAGATGTTTTCCTGGACATTGTTAATCATGTCTGCCTTTACATATATGTGTATTTTCATTCCTGAAGATTTTTTAATGAAAATGAAAGTAAAGTGACCTTTGATCTGTAGTCTTGTGAATGCAGTATCTGTGAACATGTATAGTGTTGAAATTGTTTAATGTTCCTTGCAAATTGCATTCCTTTTCTTTATAGTTTTAAGAATCACAGCCCTAAAGCCATCATATACGTACCATCTCTCAATACAATTTACTTCTGATTATCCTGAGTGATAGGAAATGAATCTCCTGGGATAATCAGTAAAAGAAATATGTAACTACTTTTGTAAATTTATAAAATGACAGGTTTTATTTGAACGCTACTGGTCAAAACATGAGTATGATTTCTGAGAAGCTCCTGTACTGTTTCTACGTATTAAAATGAAAAACCAGACAAAGAAAGCCTTGAGCTTGCAAGTATATATTCAAATGTGAAATAAAACTCTATTTCATACTTGTTCCTTTCTAAAAAGTAGTTTTGCATTAAGTTTGTCTCTTGACATTGGACATACAAGTCAATTTCTTAAACAAAGCCACTGGGTCATGTGGCCGTGGTTAATCAAGAGTTTACTGTGCTGCATCACATTTACCTCAGGCCAGTAAATACTGTGTGTCTACAGGAAACAGACAGCCTTAGCCTAGAAATGTTCGAGATACTGGAGAACCGAAAGGAGATGATGTTGGATATAGCAGTGAAGTGTTTCACCACTGCCAGTAAGGTTTGTATTCAAGTTCATCTTTTTGTGTATAACTGAGTTTGATGTTAAAACTTTATGGCTAAAATCGGAACACTACTAAACTGGTGAAAATCTTAAATGGATATAATTTAACACTGAGATTATTGATGTGCGCTCAGCAAAAGTGAATGTTAAATGAGTGCACCAAGAGTCCTTTTTGGAGGGAAGGTTTATTTAATGACATTGACAGTATCAGAACTATGTAGCATCACATGGTGGGATGACTGATGACCTGGAAATGGGTTAGGAAGAAAACATGGCGTAATCAAGTTACTACCTCAACATTTGCCTGAAGGGACTGCAGACCTGAGTCAGGGTAGCCATTGTCCCAGTCAAGATTTGAGCTAAGCAGCTCCACAACAGCACTAGAGCATTGTGTCTGGACCAGCCTGTTTAGTCATAGCCCATCTTGAAAAGATAAAAATTGCTTACATAGTCAATAATTTCCTCACCTTTCATTCAGCCTGAAAGTTCAGTACTGTGTGCACGGGATCATGCTAGTGGTTATATCCTGAGCATGATTAATTCAGATTAATATTGTCACATGTAGGGCTGGATTGGATGATTGGATTTATTGCACCTTATACATTCACACAGCTCAGGACTACAGGCAGTACAGTCATATCACTGTTCTATGCACTTTCCAGTTCACCATTACACATGCACTAGGACTCTCAGTCTTCACTAGTCATATCCTGGCAGTGGATTTCTGACAGTCTTACTGTCACTTCACATCACACATCAAATCTTGTCACAGTCCAGTTCCTTTCTTGCCATTCTTATGGAGCTGTCAATTTCAAAGACTTGACTGTCCATTCTCAACTCTACTTGGCCACATCTTCTGACTGTCTCCTTTTATAACCCTGTGGCACGGACCATGGAAAACACCATCTTCTGTGTTAGGAAGCATGTTTACAGCACTGTTACCTAGCAATAGACATCCTGTGGTTGAGCACGTTGGCTTCACAGGAATATGTTTACTGAGTTGTCGCCTAGCAGTGCATATACACATCACTGCAGAAGTTGGTGTCTGTCACTCATAGAGGAAAAAGTAGGTATTTTACACAATTTCTTTGAGTCTGATGTATCTCTGGAATTATCATTTCATCCTTTAACCAGGCCTAAAAACTTCCCTGTGAAAGCACTCCAGCCTTCGTAACTTTCTCTGCAGCATTTTGGAATGAATGCTACTGATGACTGTTTATCCTTGAAAGGATTCTGACGATGGTGTATACTGTACTTCTTTTGGCTTATTTTGGACTTCACCCATCATCTGGTATGTAAAAGAAACGTCGTGGTTTTTTGTCTTTTACATACCAGACGATGGATGAAGTCAAAAATAAGCCAAAAGAAGTACTGTTTATCCTTGTCTTTCATATTTTGAGGAGTATGTGGTTGTCTTGCCTTGCTGGTACAAGTCATGTAAGGTAATGTATGGAATTTCTTCTCCCTGCACCAGAGAAGTTTTCTGTAAGATGGTTAGCTGATGGACTGACCTACATCAAGCTACCCAGCAGGGAACATTATAAGGAAGAAGTTTTGTAGAGAATATTTGTGCCTATAAGAAGAAAATGAACTCTGTGATAATTATAGTGAAATATCTGTTAAATGAATCTCACGGGGAATGGCTTTTCTTACAGTGAATCAGGTTTCCACTGAGTGGGAGTTTGCCAAATTCATGAAGAAACTGTTGACAAGGCTTATGTATACTTTTGATAAAGTAATTTATTGAACTACATAAATAGTTTAAAGAACTTTTTCTACAGGCACATAGTGTGTAATTCCTGAAATAATTAATGATTTCAAGTAAACACAGTGGTTGTGTAGGAATGATTTCCAACAGAAAGGAAATGTAAATATGAGTAGTTGATTCAACCACAGTCACACAAAATTGAAGTACAATTTCTTGAATGATGACAAAAAATATATATTAGATGCAGGTTATTTAATGAAACCAAATTTGTGGAATAGAAGAAAATAGGATTGGATAGGGTAGATTGTTTTTATTGGGCTTCAGCTGGGACAAAAATACACAATTCAAGAACACTAATTCAGGATTTTGCTGAAAACAGTGAATAATTTCATGTTATATATTCTTTGGCTGGAACTATTAAAAGAAGTAAATAAGGAAAAAAAATCGCACGTGAAATTTTTTGTAGGAAAACCTAGTGTGAAGTCATTGGTGGAAGGGTAGTATTGAAATGGATCTTGGGTAATTGTGGAATGATGGTGTGAAGTGGACTGAATTACGTTGGATTCGAGGTTCTCACGGCAGTAAATAAAGTGAATGTTAACTTGTGGATTGTAATGCCATGTAGTTTGGTAGAAATCAACTGGCATTTTTGAGGAACTTATCACTTCCATCTTTATGGTTGAAGAAAAAGCCAAGCAGAGCTCAGCAAGCCAGTTTCTTCCTTCTGCTGAGTTACACAATGTTACATCCCAGAAGATAATGCCCTTCATTCACTGGATTAGTTTCTAAACTGACAGTTTGCAGCTGTATTATCAGGACTTTTGACAGTGTGGTATATGTCAACAGATATGGTATGCCGCAGGAGAGGACAGTGGAATTCAGGATGAGCGATGGCTGCATCAATATATGCTGGGCAAAGTAGCTGAAAAAAGGGACCATGATCCAAGTGTTTTCCTTGACCATTTTGCAAAGGTAAAAGCTTTGCATGAAATTCTCCCCTGAATGGAATGCAGTGATTGTTTGGTATGCAGTGTGTTTAAGTACAGATGTCCAAGAAAGATTACACACATTTTAAGAATCTTTCTTGAGCATGTGAACAGAACTAGGAGAGTACAGCTATCACCACGTGAAACAGCTACTCAGAAAGTTTTTCCCCCACTTTTTCCATTTCATTGTAATTTGACCTGAACTCTCTTTGCTGCTCACACAATGTACATACCATATTCAAATGTCCTGAAAGCCCTGCCACACATTTGAGGCATGATTCCTTCCACAGAATGGAGGATGTGTTTTTTTCTAATCTTACAAACATGTGACTTACATACAGTACACCCAATCCTTTGTGTACCCCCAAAGGAATAAATCCTTGTGCGTTTAGTCAACAGGCCCACCTCCTCCAATCGATCTTGCAGGAAACATTACGTCCAGTCATGTGCACTCAGTAGAGCACATATCATGAGTAAAATTTTGACCATTCGATGTCGTGGTGAAAACCGTACCTTTCTGGTCCCCCCCCCAGTAAAAATGTGAACTCATTGTTGCACACACTATATACAAAATTTTAGTGAAACTAAATCATAGGAAATATAATCACAGCCAAATGTGTAGAGTGAATTTCTCCTGGTCAGAACTGTTTGGTAGATAGGGGATTCATCAGTAGGTATGCCATGTTTTTTAAGTTAGTTTGTTGGTTTGAAATTCACATTTAGAAACCAAGGTAACTGTGGTCAGCCATCGAGGTAATTAGTATTTAATTTATTTTATTATAATTCAGCTATGCCGATTTTTTTCTTGTATTATCTTTTATTACTCTTTTTTTTGTTAAATCTTTATTTGTGTCTCTAATTTATTTTCATTGTAATGACAGCTGGCATGAATAAGGGACCTTTGTATTCTTTGTACTATGTAGCTGCTGTGGGCTCAAACTGCTTTAACATCTTAACTAATACCCTTTCACTGTGAATGGTTATTACTGCTTATTTTACAGTAAGTACACACATTCTGCATGTACCCAACCATGAAGAGGCAGGAAAGGGGATAGCACAGTCAATGTAGTGATTGGCTATTGGCTGGACTGCCAAAGGGTCAGAGTTCAAGTCCCAGCATGTGCAAAATTTCTCTCTTCTCCACATTTTCCAGACCAGTTCTGTGGTCCATCCAGCCTCCTACCCAGTGGGTACTGGGGGATTTTCTTTGGGGGTAAAGTGGCCAGTGCATGAAACTGACAACTCACCACCAACTAGTGCTGAGGTCAACAAAAATGTGGATCTACATCCACTCCCCCATATAGCTTCATGGCATATTGCTTAATTAGCTAAGCAAAGGGACAACTTTACCTTTCTCTTACATATTAATGGGTGACCAAAGTAGATTTAAAGGGTGTTTCATGGTGAAAATGTCAGATCAAACTGCTGGTACACTTACTGACACCATGTCGAGAATGTCAGAGAAGGTTTCATCTTCTGTTGAGATAGTTCGTGTGGAAACAAGGTGAAGGGTCTGGAGAGCACAGGTTTTGAGTATTTGAAAATCAATCACAAATACAGTTTGGTTGCTCTGACAGCTGGCATTCACAGCCAGAATCTGGAATGGCTGTTGAGATTAAGCATATGTTTTTATAAATCCTCGAGGTTTCGTGTGTCACCATGTCGAGTCTTACATGTCTGGGTTTGTGTGATTGATTCAGCAGAGGAGACTTCTTTTGATGCTGTTTGGGAAAATGTCAAACAGTATTGGTCTTCAGAACAGTTCTGTCTTCTGGGATATAAAGCCATGTACTCCATTTAAATCAGCCAATGTTTTGGAGGATCATGTTGCTTACATCGTCAGGGTTGAAGATTAAGCCAGGCAAGAAACTAGCCTGAAGCAGGTGCAAAAAAGCTCTGCTTTCTACAAAGTGCAATGTTATGTCACAGAAAACAGAACTTTTCATAACCACCAATGTGTCAAATCCTGTGTTTTTTTTTTTGCTATAATTTTCTTTCCAGAATAAACCTTCTAAAAAAGTTCACAGAAGTTGTGCATAAAATTTTTTGGGTCACCCATTAATACTTCAATATGAAACTATTTTGTTTTTGCTACTGAATACAGACATGGACTTTATTGCAGGCTTGTGAACATCTTCATCAGACTCGGGCTAGTTATGCCCGTAAGATAAGTTACAATAATCCACAGAACTTGGCAGTTGAGGTCTTAGAAGTCTACTATAGGATCCATGCTTGCATTCTTAAATACTTGGAGCAAAATGAAGGCAGAAAGCTTGAGGAAGATACAAGGGCACTTTTTGAAAAACTGCTGAAGGATGCAGCTGAGGGACCTTTCATGGCCTCTAGTTCCAGAGAGACAGAAGGGTAATTGAGATTGCATTTCATATTCCATAATATTATTAAAGGAACTTGCATTTTTTGTCATTGTACCATATCTGTGATATGCAAGTAACAAATGTTTTCTGCAGAATACCTGAAATGATTATGAAGTCAAGTGGCAGAGTGTGACTTTTTCAGAAGTGTTAGCTAAATCATCAGGCAGAAAAAAATGTTGAAAACTTTGGCAACCTGGTATATACATCATACAAGATAATTACACATATTTGAGCTAAGAATTATTAAAGTTAAGGAATAAAAGAGGACAAATGTAAACTAAGAAGAAATGATTAGCAATTGCAGAACTTACTTTTTTATTACAACTTGTACTTCAGTTCCATGCAGCAGTTTTGTCAGTGAAATATCTTTACAATCTGCGACCATGCAAGAAACTCAAATGTGTTAACATTCCTCATTTGCTAACATGATAGCATAGTCTCTAGTCTGCTGTGTCTCTCATAACTATTTCTCCACTAACAGTACCTGTGATGAGCTGGCTTAAGGTGGAAAATGATGTATTGTGGCATGTAGACCTGTTGCTAGGCAGCGATTGGAAGATGGGCGACTGTACAGCAGCCTGCTAACAACAGGAGAGAACAGTGCTTTCTGTGTGGTCCATATCGAGATGTTGTAAACAGGAAAGTTTGAGCAATGAGTTAGTTGTGGGACAGTCGCTGACTGGTAAGAACATAAGCACAAAAGCATAAGGCATTGTTGTGACCTGTCACCAGGAAATGATTGATGAAGGGACTTAGTATGTGCTGTAGTGAACTTCAGAGTGTGTGAATTGGCGACAGTGCTGTGGTTACTTGTAGTTACATTCTGTAAGTGTTCAATAAATACAATTACCAGTCCAAACCCTGTGTGTAGTCATGCACACGTGACAGTGTTATGCGATTGCTTCTCTTACTGTTATATTGAGTACCACTAAAACATGAAAGTAAAATTTGTTATTTTATTTTTCAAAGTGTTATTTGAGGTAACACAATTATCATAAATGTTTCATCACTGATCACGCCTGTGAAGAACTGTCATTGATGTGTACTGAAATGACTATTTTCTTACAATTATTTACATGAAAGCCATTTCCCAAGCTCTAGTGGTTGCCCTGTAGTCTAGTTGAATTTAACTTGATTTGTGCCACACTGTAAGTATCTAGACATGAGACAGGTATTCATAAATAAAACACACCCTTTAGTGCCACCTCTAAGCTGCAATCAAAGCACTTGGTACACACCAAATCACTTTAGAATTGGTCTGGGACTGCCACCAATCCCTCACACAACTGGCCAGACATAATAAGAGTACAACTGATATGGGTGCCAGGCCATGAGGGTGTTGTTGGGAATGAAACCGCAGATCAGCTGGCAAGAACAGGATCTGAACAGCCATTCATAGGACCTGAACCACCTTGTGGCATCTCAGTAGGAGAGTATTGCTGAGAATGAAACTGCAGATCAGCTGGCAAGAACAGGATCTGAACAGCCGTTTCGTAGGACCTGAACCAGCTTGCAGCATCTCAGTAGTAGAGTATTGCTGGGAATGAAACCGCAGATCAACTGGCAAGATCAGGATCTGAACAGCCATTCATAGGACCTGAACCAGCTTGTGGCGTCTCAGTAGGAGAGTATTGCTGGGAATGAAACCGCAGATAAGCTGGCAAGAACAGGATCTAAACAGCCGTTCACAGTACCTGAATTGGAGTTGCCAAGAAAGCGATCAGGGACTGGGCTAACAGACATCACAAATAATCACTGGGAATCCACAACTGGGCTCACACAGGCAAAATGACATATCAGGACCCTCTCCCAAAAGAAGGAGGGACCTGTTAAAATTAAACAGAGATCAACTAAGATGGGTGGTAGGATTACTTACTGGACACTGCCACCTAAAAGGGCACCTTTTCAAACTGGGACTGACAGATGACCCAACCTGTGAAAGGTGCTACAAGAAGATGAATCAGCCACACACATCTTATGTGACTGTGAGGCTATAGCTTACTTAAGATATCGCCACCTGGGTCAATTCTTCATGGAACCAAGTGACTTTTATGATGCCCCCATAAACAAAGTCCTACATTTCATTCAAAGTGTAGGATTAATAAAGTGTTACTCCAAAGGGGAAGCACAGTAGATCATTGAAGGTCGCAGTGCAAGAGCCAGTTTCTATGGCTCACCCCCTCCTACTCATACTCATAGTGCCACCTCTAAAGGTGCATTTGCTTGTTCTTGTTGTATCAGTATTCACACTAGTGAGGATTTCAAACACGAAGAGTTGTATCCGTATATTAATCATGTCTTTCCTTCAGTTTTATTGCACCGCTAGTCTGCCATCAGGGGCTCGTGCAGCAGTGAGGGACACACACTCATTCCTATCTTGAAACTGAAAATTTTTTTATACCTGCCGACACATTTTTTCATTGTTTCATGTATGTTTGAAATCTGTTATTTTTAAGGGGATTCCATGTGGTTTTTATTTTATTTTTGTAGAACTGGATAGGTTTTTATGTAAGACTAAGTTCCATGTATGCAAGTGTTTTATTGTTGTCTATGTTTATGTTTCATCCTCCCCCCCCCCTCCTGCTTCTTCTTCTGATCATGAAGTTAGGACATTAAAAGCCTCATTATTTTGTGTCTTGTAGTCCACTTAAAGTTTCTCCAAGGTATAGTCTTCCCCCAGGTGCACAGTGAAGAAGTTGTTTTAGGTGTCTGACGTCTTTCATCCTTCTGACATGTGCCAATCAATTTTATTTATACTACTCTGACTTCTTCATTCTGTCCATGTCAGATTCTTAAAAAGATTTATAACTTTGGGTATTTTTCTATTTCAGAAAAACTGAGAGTGACGAAGAGCAAAAAAAAAGACAACTGATTGAGTCCATAGATTGTGTGATTGAAGATGTCCCATTTATGAAGAAAGCGCGTCTGGATTTGCCTTTGGTCAGAATATTATAAAATGTAAAATATTAAGTAGACTGATAAAGTGACAGGTGTTAATGGGCAGTTAAGAATGCATCAGTGTAACTTCCTCAGAAATGTGCAGTTGAGTGTTAGCTAAGAAGCATTGTGACAACACTGAGTAGGTTGTTCTGGCAGTAACATTGTAGACTTGTATTTGGGAGATGTTTGGTTCAAATCATGGCTGGGACAATGGCTGTTCTTACTGGGGTTTTTTGTGCCCCCCCAAGTTATTTTAGGCTGCCAGGCTAAAATCTTGATCCTCTCAAAACACTTTCCAGTTCATCAGTATTTCCAGCCACATATGCTCTGTACTGTGGATGCTGACAGTGTTGATGTTTGAAAGGCTCTTGACCTCCATTGTCAAGTTGTCAGTTTCATCTTGTAGGCTACTTGAGTACATGCTGTTCTGTGCAGGAAGCTGATGGATAAAGCATCATTTATGGGTGACAGCCCAAAACCGACCCTCAGTTGAAGATATATGAAGAATTGTGATGTAAGCTAGTAAACTATATTGAAACTTTGAAGACTCAAAGGAAGAGAGATCAGCTAAGGTCAGATGCAGCAGTAGAACAACAGTGTTACTATGTAAGATTTGAGGCTACACAGGTCAATGTACCGTCGGCAGCTTAGCCCTGAGGCTATTGGGTCAATGCTCCCAGTAACCCTGCCTTCCCCCCCTCCCCGACATGATGCTATACCGGCTCTGCCCTGCTACTTGCTGGCCCATCTCCACAGACCCTTCCCCTCTACTCTCTGTTGATTTTCCATGTGACCTACTACTCTCCCTCCCTTGCTGTTCCTATATAACTGGGTGTTTTCTACTGGTCACTCAGTCTGCAGCCACCTGCTCATGCTGGTTCCTTGCTTGCAGATTTTTTGTACCCTGAAGATGGAGATGATACGTTCCTCCAAAACGTTGATTTACACAGTATCTACACAGGGCCACATTATAGAAGACAGCATTCTTCAACAGTGTTACTGTCTGTAGTGGTGAAAGTGTGTCTTTTCTATTATAATTTCAGGATGTTTATAGAAGGTCTGAGGGAAATTGTACTTGACATTGCACTCAGAAATACTCTTAGCTTCTTTGTCTCAAGAGATCTTCCCAGTTCTGAGGGTTGCTGGAGATTCTCTTCTTCTCTTGGCCTGCAAAGGTAAAGTTGTTACTGTAAAGACATATGGAAGGTAGAAGTATGGCTCGACCATTCTTAGTCTCAGCACTAGATGGAGGTGAGTTATCAGGTTCATGCCCTGGCTGCTTTACTGCTAGAGAAAGAGCTCCAGGTACCCACTGGATAGGAGTCTGGGTGGGCTGCAGAGCTAGTCTGGGCCACAGGAAGAAGGGACAAATTTCTTGCCCCTGCCAAAAATTGAATCCTGGCTGTTGCTGTACTGGCTGAGCCATCCAGGCTTGTGTCTTGGCCTTTAGTTTGCTGCTAACATGTGATAGGAGCCAATATAGCATAGTCGGTATAGTGACTGGCTACAGACTGGATGACTGAGATTTGAAATTGAGTCCCGGCAGGGTCAAGAATTTTCACTTCTCCATGTTATCCAGACCGGTACCGGGGGGCTCTTCCCCGGGGGTAAAGTGGCTGGAGCGTGAAACTTACCGCTCACGTCCAACGAGTGCCCAGGTCAAGAAAGTATGGCTCTATACATCCACTTCCCTGTATGTCTTCATGGCATAGTGCTTACTTAGTTAAGCATGGGGACAACTTTACCTTTTTTTAACTAATGTGGTACTTGGTGCTGGACTGTTAGGAAGGAATTGGTGTACCTAAGGCTGGTTGCACTAGATCTATATACAGTTTTCTTAAGAAATTCTACAATAACAAAATTTCAGATTTTTTTTTACCTGTTTTATTACATGGGGTGGGGTGAGACTGAGTCCACTTGGTGCATTGGCCGTTAATGGGTCTGTGTGTACCAGGCCTGGATGATAGATGAGTGTGGAATGAGACTGGAATCATAGTGCTGTGAGATGGAAACATAATGGGACCATGTCACCCGTCTTGCACACCTTTCATTCTGTAAAAATATTGACCCCCCCCTCCTACTTGAATGTTGAGGAAGCTGCTCAGCAGATGACAAAGACCAAGGTTCACTGTGAAGATTCTAGAAATTTCAATGTAAGTGATATGCCTATAGAAAAGAACTGTAACAAGTTAGTCAGCTGTCAGTCGTCTGTGCAATTCAGTTGAGCACCATAGATGACTGGAGTAGAAATCAGTGAGTTTTCCACTGTTCAGTTCAGTGCAGTTTGTTAATGAAATTAGTCAGTCAGTCCTCAGTTGTGTGTAATGCAGTGTAATGTGTTTCATGACTCTGTGATGGTTAATGTGTATTATTTAATCACACTACCACTGTGAGACTTTCTAAAATAAAATTCTATTAATATCAGCAGTTACTTATGCTCTTTTGGCTGGTGAACATCCCACACTGTTTGTAAGAGACATGCACATTATTGTAAAAGGCACATAACAATTGGGAACAGAACATGATTCGAAGAAACCCTGCTACAAAAAACACATGACACCAAAATTATTTTTTACACATGCAGCATGCAGCAAATGGTTTGCATTTTGTACTATTTTACTATTTTCTTTGTTCCCATTTTTTCTTTCTGTGGTAATGCTGTCAGTAGGCTATGTACCATAAAATGGTAGAATGACTGAGGAATAATGAATTGGGAAAGTTTGGAAGAACCTGGCATTTGCCTGGAGGGACTGAGGAAAACCATGAAACCCCTCAGTCAGTAGAGCCATTGCCCCAGTTAAGATTCACATCCGCCATCTCCCAAAATAAGTCTACTGTTTTACTACTAAACAAACAAGTCTGGTTTATTTGTTCTTGGGATCAGTGCAGTATCAGTGTGTAGAAAGTCTGAAAGAGCCAGTTACAACAGTTGGTCGTATACTGAACAGAAAGTAAAAATACAACTTATGGTGCAAAAAATTAATTAATTTTTTCGTTTTCTTTTCCCACACAGGATATATGTGTAATGGAGGATGTTATTGATGTGATGGAAGGACTCATTACTAGAGTTGTAGAAGGGGAAAGTAGGATAAATCAGACACTGTGCACAGCAGAGACACCAGACAACATAAATGTGAACCCAGTTAGGAACAAAGATGATGGTGTGGAAGTAATCATTTTAGATGACACATTGCATAAAACCTTTGAATCTCCAAATGAAGTGAATATGCAGGTGGACCCACTAAGCATAGACACTGAGACTGTTGTCATTAAGAAAGAGCCAGTGACAGAAATGGTTGATTGTAAAGAGTTAGTAGTGCATGAGCTATACACTGAAGCAAACTTGGATGACATTGATTTAGCAATGGAAGTTGTTGAAGAAATTGTTGTTGAAGAAGTCATAGTTGATGATGAACTGGATCAAACAAGTAACAGTGAGAATAAAGCAAATATAATAAAAGATGAATGTGAAGAACAGATCACTGAGTTGAAAATGTTGGAAGCTTCTAGTGATGTTAGAGATGTAGTTGGAAGTTCGAAAGTTGAAGCAAGTGGCGATAAGTGTCCGCAATTAAGTAACACTAAGATGGAAAGTGGTAGGTATAACAGAAATGGTGGGGATGTTGATGATGAATGTGAAGATGATGATGATGACAATGATGGTGATGATGAATATGATGGTGATGATGATGATGATGACGATAATGATGAAGTGGAAGAAGAAGAAGATGATGAAACAGAAGAGGAGGAGGAGGAGAAGGGAGGAAAAGACATTAAAAGAAATGAGCTTCACGGAGCAAGCAATATGAACTTGGAGAATGAAACACCAAAGTTACCTGAACAACAGCCAGAAACAGAGGAAATGGAAAATATGATACCGGAAATTCCCATAAATCGACGCAGTTCTCAGGAGACCACTACAAGCACAACCACCACTACAACAACAGAAACTTCAACAGCAAACTCCACTTCAAGCAGCAGTGATTCTGAAGGCGATTCATCATCTAGCAATGAGGACTCCAGCAAGTCTTCGTCAAACAGTGATTCTGACAATGCCAGTGATTCCAACTCTGAAGAAGCAGACCAGGCAGCTGAAACAATCACGAGAACTACATCAACTGCACTCACAGACAAGAAAAAGAGCCAAGGACCTTCACCTGCCAAGCGAGAAGATGGGAGGAAGAAAGATTATGGAGATGATGAACTCGGTGGTAACTATGGTATGTTCGCTGTATGATGGAACTTGCATAACTAAATGTGACAGAAATTAGCAACAGCAAAACCAATACTTGCTGTAATATAATCTACAGTGAACTCTTGATTGTTCATAGTATTAGAGGGGAGAAGTATCTTGCGTAATTAAAACAACAGATGATCGAAAAATCTGGGAATGTTCGCTGTTGATATTGCATTAAGTCCTGAAAATCACTTCATTATTACTTACTGGTCATGAAACAGTGAGACAAATACCTTTTTGCAGCAGAAGAAAATAATTCTTTTTCAGTGGTCGGCTGGCATGGAAAGCAAAAAAATAATAAAATAGAAAATGAATGAGTTATACTTGAGGTTCTGATAGTTGTGACTGAAGAGAACATTCTTCTAAATTGTAACTCCATGTAGTTTGATAGAAGCCCACCAACATTCCCCTGAAACATTGGTGGACGACCCAGAAGACCATACGTGTAACAAATTATGAATTTGAAACGTGGCAAGAAGATATACAGTCTACTGTAAACAGTTGGGAAACATCACTGATACCTGTTATTGAAGCAGGTGTCATGTGCAACACTTAAATTATTACAGGAATAGATAGACCATATATGTAGATGATTCCAAAAGTAAGGTCTCCAAAGCGCTGGGTAATTTTTCGTGCGGCCGTTGGCAACCCTGTTGCATTCATTGCTTCCCCCACTCCCCCCAATACCACCAAGCATGCACGCACGTAGCTAGGACCCTCAGTCTTGGCACGGTTGCCGTTAGCAATGGAGCTCCCGATTACTAAAACCGCGAAGTGTGAGATTCGCGCTGTTATTCGGTTTTTGAACGCAAAAGGGACTAAACCAATTGAAATTCATCGTCAATTGGTGGAAGTATATGGCGAGTCGTGCATCGACATAAAGAACGTCCGCAAGTGGTGTAGGGAGTTTGAATCTGGTCGTACTGCAGTACACGACGAAAAAAGTACAGGGAGACCGTCAATTTCTGACAAGACAGTCGCGAAGATTGAGCGAGTCATGCGTCAGGATAGGCGCATCACACTCGATGATCTCTGCATTTCGGTTCCCGAGGTTTCCCGAACCACCATTTATCGGGTTTTGACAGAGAAGTTGAATTATCAGAAGGTGTGCGCAAGATGGGTCNAGTCTGCTGGTAAAGTCATGGCAACTGTGTTTTGGGATCGAAATGGGGTATTGTTGGTTGACTTTATGGAAACTGGGACCACAATAAACGCTGAGAGATATTGTGAGACACTGAGAAAACTCAGGCGGGCGATTCAGAACCGGAGAAGAGGGATGTTGAGCAAGGGCATAAGCATTCTCCACGATAACGCTCGCCCCCATGCTGCCCAACAAACCGTCGCTCAACTGCAACAGTTTGGATGGAACATCATCACCCATCCACCCTATAGTCCGGACTTGGCGCCCAGTGACTACCATCTCTTTCCAAAGTTGAAAGAATATTTGTCTGGAAAGCGCTTCAACAACGACGATGAGGTGAAAGCTGAGGTTCGAAGTTTCCTGAACAGCATGGAGGTGAACTGGTATGACATGGGCATACAAAAATTGCCACTGCGCCTACAAAAATGCATTGACCGAAATGGCGATTATGTAGAGATATGAGTACATGTTCAAGATTCAACTGATGTATCCAAAATTGAAAATAAATATTTATTTTATATTTTCAAACATAGGAGACCTTACTTTTAGAATTACCCTCGTATAAAGAGTTCTGAAAGTCCCATCATTAGTTCGCATATGGATAATCAAGAGTCTACTGCAGATATGTTTTTCTGTAGAACTATCATTCCCATATTGCATAGCTGCTTCATTTTTTGTTTCTTATAGTTATTCTTTAAAACTGTACCTTTACAGCTATTGTAACTACCACAAATGAATGAATTCAGGGAATAGTGTACAGTTATATGTAACTTATTTATAGAAGCCACAGAGACCATCTGTAATGTCCATATATGAGGTCTGACAGATAATGGAGTCATGTTTATATGCACCAGCTGACAGCACTGCTGAGTTGGTGAATGTCTGTATGATTCAGCAATTTTGTGTTGAAAGGGCATTGGTATTCAGCAGTTATGGATGCAGTGTTTTATTGATGCACTGTTTGAGGTTGATTTTTACCGGTTATCTGAACATGAAAAATATCTGTGACAAAATGGTGGGAAAAAAATTACTGCTGCAAGTAAATACTGAGGAATAGAATTTTGTCAGAACTTAAAGCAAAGTTGCTGGAAGTACCAAACTTTATGGAAGGAATAGTGACTAGTGATGTAACCTGAGTCTTGTGGTGTTTCCCAGAAATGAAATGCCAAAATCTCCAACTGGAAAATCTGATTCTTTTTATTTGAATGTTTATTTTAGTTTTTTACTGAAAACTTAGTTGGCTTCTTTCCATAATAGTTTATATAACATTTTAATATGAATAAATAAGATCTTCATAATAATTTTACAGTCTGCAGCATCAAAGAAATATGAATATTAAAGTTTTGGATGAAAAACAAGCCCTTGAAATCAACAGAATGATTTTTTATGTATTAATTCTTCTAATGTAGACAATTAGACATTCTGCCTTCAAAGTTGGAACATTTAGAGATACACAAACCAGGTTATTTACTGGCCTGCCTACCCATTCAGCACATTCAGAAAAGTGAAGTTTGGTTGAAGAACAAGTAACAAAGTTGGAACATGCACCATGCTCAAATGATTTAGCCCCTTTTCTCAAACTGAACCTCCAATTTAAGCAGCCTCATTTTGAATCACATAAAAATTCCCAGACACTGTAACAGCAGTATTGAATTTACTCTCGGAAAATTATTTATATCAATGTTTACAAGTGTGACAGAATACTGGATGCCTGTGTAAGGTCAGATAGTGAATAATTCAGAAGTAAACACATTCATTAGATGTTTTTACCCCCCCCCCCAACATCCTGAATCAGTTTAAATATTTATTTTTCAAATCCTGTATACAATTTCTCAGCATACATTATTTGCACTCTTGTTATTATCTTATAGGGGTCTCGTACATATTTCAATTTATGATTTACTGTTGCTGTAGATCATTATGAGCTGGTGCGACAGTGTCTGGTTGCTCTGGAGGAATGTGTTCTGCGGTTCCCCCAACATTACAAATCCCTTTATCGTCTGACGCACTTTTATTTCCACTCCAAGTTCCATCGCAATATATCCAAATGTCAGGACCTCCTTATGGGAACCTACAAGTGCCTCCCCATGGAAGGAAGGCCTGCCAATGCAAGCTTCCAGGGTCTGTTTGCTGAGAGGAAGAACAATAACTTCTTTAATGTGAGTCAACACATTTCACTTAATTATTGTTTCCTCAGTGGAAAGGATGATGTAAACTTTTAGTAAGTCATTAAATCTGGTAATTAAGTAGCTCTTGTGACTCTGTACTTTTGCAAACTGATGAAGTCCCTTGTCATGGCAGCTGGTGTTTTCAAACCATACCTAAGAATTTTAGCCTTTAATCGTTTCATACCCAAGGCATACCCCTTCATTATATCTTCTTCTTTCCCTGTTCTCCTTTCTGTTATCCTTTCCCACATCTTTCTCTTTCTTCTACACTTCCGCCATTATTCTTCATCCCCTCCTCCTCCTCTTCTATATTCTTCCTATATTTCATTTCCTTCTCTTTTGCTGTCTCTTTATCTCCTTCTTTCTCTTCATCACTATCTTCTTTCCATCTCTTCCTGTTTCTTCACCTCCTCTACTTCCACATCACCTGATGTTTCTTATCTTCTTTTACATTTGTTCTTCAGTGCACAGTTGCGTGCTAGGGTCTGGAAGAGTTAAGCCATAATATATTGTCACGTGTTGGGTATGTGTCACACGACAAATAACTTCATGCCATTCTGGATCTAGCGAATTTATTCCACTTGCTCTTACATTTACACAATTCACAATTACACCACTACTGCCATCTGCAGTTTCACAATTACTTCTCCTGTAGTCATTTCCTTTCACTCAATAACAGTGGACTTCAACTTATTCNTTAGTGTGACGGACCAGAATGAAAGTCCTTAAAATCAATATAACTGTTCAGCCAGCTTTTTATACCATTCCCCGTTGCCTNTTTCACTCAATAACAGTGGACTTCAACTTATTCCGGCAACTGCTAGACTGCAACTGACTGGTTACTCCATGATCCACAATGTCACTCCTAATCACACACTCTCAATATAACTGTTCAGCCAGCTTTTTATACCATTCCCCGTTGCCTTGTGTCAACAGCGGTATCCCCTGTTGTGTCACGGGGGTGGGGGTTAACGAGCGTTGCACTGTCCAGGTCACAATATTATTTGAACTGATCTGTGTTTTTCCATGGATTAATGCTTGTTGGTGTCATGAGTGTATTAATGTTAACGAATCTTATTTGCCAAACAGGAGATGAGTAAATTGAATTTAAGTGAAATTAAAAGTTCTGATTATAGCCAAGTCATTTGAATGAATGAGATTCCCAAAAGAAGAAATACAAAAATAACCTGAGCTTCAGTTTTAATCTTAACTTCTAAAACATTTTTAAAAGTTTTATGGACTCTGTCAGTATAACCACAACCAGCACATTCAGTCCACAAACCCGTAGTTTAGAACCAATAACACATTAAGTTTATGAGCTTCGGATTCGTGTTTATGAGTTAGTTCTCAGTAATAACTTTTTGCGCTGCACTCATGTCCTGTATGCAGGTTACAACAAGAACACAAGTGGCAGCTAGACCCTGAGCTGCCAATATTTATCTGCAATAACTATGAATTTCAACTCAGATGAAGATCTTGGGCACTTCCTCCTCATTCTGTGCTGTTATATCCATCTTCAGAATACTCACTGGCTATGATGTTCTCTCCCTGTTTCCAGCATATATTAACAATAAATTATATCTTGTATATGTATGTGTGTTGTGACATGTCCAAGGTTCCGTTTAGTCTCTTCTACAGCCAGATGGACTAGAAGACACCTTTTTGAAGGGTTTCATTTCCTGTGTTAGCTACTGTATCTGTAGCTGGTCTATTTGTTGCTGCAGGAACTGCAGTAGTTCTGGCTTTCATTCCTGTGGTGACATCTGCCAATGTACGCGTTGTCATGTTTACGTGTTTACAGTTGCTGCCTATGCAACAATGCATTCACTGTTCCTTGTTGTATGGAAAACATAACTACTGAGCCATTGTCTAGCAGTGGACTTCTCTGGTGTGCTTTTCTGACTGCGCACTGGTCTATTCCAGCTTGTCCAGACATGTGTTTTAACATGCTGTTGTCTAGAAATGTATGCCCGCTCAGATATTCTGGCTTTTAGGTGGCATGCTACAATATAATGTAAGGGACAACATTTCATATTTCTTGTAAGCTTGTTATGTGATACTAAGTGGGCCAGTGCAGAGCAATTACTGTGACATGGATAGGCACACTTTCACTGTATCAGCTGAATACTGACCACAACTTAACTTGCTGAGGAAACAGTCTTAAATTCCTCCTTCCATGGAGAATCACGGTGGTACCACTCCACGGATTGTTGCTGTGCTATGTCTGCTGCTTAAAGCAGTAAATCATGTTTCATCACATCCTGTGACAGAAGAGTTTCCCCTACTGTATTAAATCATCATAACAGCTGTGTGAAAATGTCCTTGGTTTGACTTGTGTGGTTGACTGCTAGCTGGTGAGGAACTCATCTTTGCATAACCCAAATGATCAGTAAAATTTCTTCCATGATTTCAGCCATGCTGCCAGCTCCACACCTGATGCTGCACTCTCCACAAATTGTGTCATTGACAGACTGTATAATGTTATTTGAGGCAGCTGTAATATAGTGACAAGTGCATTCCTTATCATGAAGATGAACTTTTCAGATTGCTTCTCTCTTTGTTTCACCACATGACCAGCATTACATCTGTTCATTGTACCATATCTGTAGACAGTTCTCAGTCTTGTATGAAGGCCTACATGCATTTTTGCATGTAACTCGCTAAGTATTTATTAGAGTGCAGAAGGTTTTGGGCAGAAGCTGTAGATGAAGATAAAATATGTTATGTCCCATGCACTTTTTAACACTTTTCAAGATAATTAAACCAAAGAGAGTGAACATGAGAGAATGTTCATGCTGTGCATATGTTTCCTGACTTGTTTAACTTTTGCTATTGACTTCATTTTTATAAATAAGAGCAGAATGTTCATGACCATGGTATATTAATACAATTATTAATTTTCTGGACATTATCTATAGTCAAAATTTTTATTAAAACAGTGTTTTTGAGCTTAGATGTTGGATGATATCTGGAAAATCCATCATTGCATCCATTTTGGTAGCTGTTATTGCCATGTTATATTTTGTTGCTGTTGTATGTAATTTAAATTAATGTTTTTTATAAGTAAACTGATTCTGATGTAATAATTTTGTCATCAGCAAAGAGTGACTATCACATGAATGTATTAAACCCTACTGAAAATAAGTTTCCTCAGAATCTGTGCATATTGTTAGCTATGTGTTTTGGCTGATAGAGTTTTGTGTAACGTTTCATGTGTGGAATAGGGAGTATGGCGCATACCAGTATCTGAGATTGACCGCCCAGGCAGTTTTGCCTCCCATATGAGCCGCTGTGTTCTACTGCTCATGGAAGTGTTGCGGGAGGTACGAGATCACAGGATGTTGCTGGAGCTCTGTCTGCAGTTGAGGCGAACTCCTGAAGCAGACAAGTTAGTTCTCTGATTTTATTTTTAGAGCTATATGTGCTGGCCGTTTATAGTTATGTTGTCTCTGTGTGTTTGCATAGGCTTGTCCATGGTTACATGGTAATTAATTAATATATTTTTTATTTGGAATTACTGTTAATGTTTTAAAAGGAGCTGGGTTAGCGTAGTCAGTATAGTGACTGGCTACAGGCTGGACGACTGAGGGGTCAGAGTTCGAGTTCAGCTACAGTCAAGAATTTTCTCCACGTCGTCCAGACAGGCTCTGGGGTCCACCCAACTTCCTATCCAATGTGTAACAGGGGCTCTTTCACCAGGAGTAAAGCAACTGGGGAGAAGCTGACAACTCACCTCCAGCTAGTGCCAAAATCAAGAATATACATCCACTCCCACATACGCCTTCATGGCGTAGCGCTTAATTCCTTGAGCACAGAGACAACTTTACCTTTTTTACCTTTATAAATGTTCTAAAAGGGACATTTTAAATCAGATAGCATTTGTAGCCATATGTTTGAGTTTTGAGTTGGTATAGTGATGGGCTTTGGACTGGATGGTCCAGGTTCAATTCCTGGCAGGGGCAAGAGATATTTCTCTTCTTCACAGTGTTCAGACTGGCTCTGGGGCCCACTTAGCCTCTTGTCCAATGGGTATCAAGGTCTGTTTCTGGGGGGCGTGAAGCAGCTGGGTATGAAGCTGACAGTTCTCCTCCATCTTGTGCCAAGGTCAAGAATTGTGGAGCTATACTTCCACTCCCCCATACATCTTTGTGGTGTAGTGGTTAATTAATTAAGTGCAGGAACAACTTTAACTACTTAAATACATAAAACTGTCCTAAAGATCTTAAATAAAGTAGTTTTGTGTCCAGAGGGTACTTAAAAGTACTGGTACTGCATATTGCAGTGTCAAAATGAAAACATTGTTAGTTATATCAGTTTCTGTTACGTAGGCAAGGTATTCTTTAAGTCTAAAAAAACAATTTATTTCATTTCTGTGACATTCAGTGCTGTAAATCTGCCTTCTCCTATCACAGTACACACTGTAAAAGATCCATTGAGGCACTAATGGTTAATTTTACCTGCAACTGTATATAAATTTTCCTTAGACTAATCTTGGCTCCATGAGTACACACACTCAGGCACTCTGCTTGCTTGGCTTACTCTTTGACCCGAAGATGGAGGTAATACATTCTTCTGAAACTTCAGTAAATGTCTACTAGATCACATAACATCACATCCCAGAAAATAGTGCAATTAACAAAAATATATTCCTTTCTTTTTAAACTATCGTTCTATTTGCTAAAGTTTTGCTATAACCGCACATTCTAATACACTGTGTGTCCAGGATCCGTTAGGACTCATTTTTTTTATTTTGCCCTGCAGTGCCATCTGTTGGCGAGTTGTGGCATTAAGATTCTTGAAGTTTCAGCTGTGGCTGTCTGTAATTTCAAAGCACAAGCATCACTGCATCATGTGTTCTGGCCTTGCATGTAACAGTACTGTTCTGATGCTAGTCAGAAAATGGCGGTTGAACAGAGAGCCAACATCAAATTTTGTTTGAAGTTAGGCAAAAGAGCCGGAGAAGAATACAAAATGATGAAAAGTGTGTATGGTAGTGATTTTTTGAGTCGCTTTAACATGTTTCGATGATATGCTATATTTCATGATGGCAGGGAGGACATTGAAGAAAATGTGAAAAAAGTGACCAAAATCCTTGCGTCGCATCAGACAGATGTGTTTCTGCAAGACTCATCGAGGAGTTTTTGGGAATTCATTCATTCATCAGTAATCTGTCAAGACGACAGGTCCCCGATCTCTTCCAAAACAGTTCCTCCACTTAATGCAATCTATAGCTTTCTCCTTCAAATGAGAATATCATCTTCTGTCCCCAAGGTCATTCAGCATCTTCTTACGTCTTCTTCCTCGTCATCTGGTCACTTCTATCCGCCCCTCTATCTTTCCTTCATTAGAAGATAGTTCCTGCGTAAGATATGACCAATCCAGTTAGCCTTCCGTTTTGTTATTTCATGTAGAATATTCCTGTGCTCACTGACTCTAAATAACACTTCTTCATTTCTCACATAATCGGTCCAACTGATCTTCTCCATTCTTCTCCAACACCACATTTCGAAGCTTTCCAGGTGTTTCTGATCTACTGCCCTAAGTGTCCAAGTTTCAGCCCCATACAAAGCCATGCTCCAAATGTAGCATTTCACTAGTTTCTTTCTAAAATTTAAGTCCAATTTGCTGGTAAAAACATTCTTCTTCTTGCTAAATGCAACTTTTGACATGGCAATCCTAGATTTAATTTCACAAGTACATCTTCCATCATCTGTTAACAAGCTACCCAAATATTTAAAACATTTCACATTCTCCAGCTGTTTTTGGTCTATCTTTATTGTGACTGGGGTTGGTTGTCTCGAAAGTTTCATTACTTTTGTTTTTTTTNATATTTCACATTTTCAGTAACTTGCCCTCCTAATTTGAAGTCTCCAAGCCCATCCAGAGCTTCCTTGGTAAGGCATTCGCTGTACAAGTTGATAGAATTGGTGATAAACAGCATCCTTGTCGAACTCCTCTTCCAGTCTTCACACTTCTTGTCTCCGCACTGTCCAGTCACACTCTAACGTTCTGATCCATGTACAATTTACTAATCAATCTTCTTTCACCCCAATCGATACCTGTTTCCTTTAGGATCTGCATTAATTTGGTCCAATTTACACGGTCAAATGCCTTCTGCCAGTCTATAAAGTAAGCACACAGTTCTTCATCTATCTCCAAAGTTCGTTCTGCTATAATTCTCATCCTTTGGGATTAACAAAAAGTATTGTGCATCAAATTTTGACCGAGGATTTGGGCAAATGGAAGGTCTGTGCACGGTTTGTACCACTCGTGCTGTCGGGCGATGAAAACATGCCAGAGTGGAACACTGCAAAGACATGTCATGGTGGGCCCAAAGTGATACAAAATTTACAAAATTGATTGTTAATGGTGACGAGACATGGTGTTTTCAATATGAGCCTCTCACAAAGCAGCAGAGTGCAGCGTGGTTGAGCCCAAAGAAGCCAGCTGAAACCAAAGAAAGTGTGCTTGCAAAAGAGTCAAGTAAAGACACTGCTAACCGTTTTCTTTGATTCCAAAGAAATCATTCACAAGAAATTTCTGCCAGAAAGTCAGACAGTGAATTTTGATTATTATCTCGGAGTCCTCAATCGTTTGTGGGCGAGANATTGAGTCGTCTGGAACTGAACATTGACAACACTGTCCGGCCAGCCAGATAGAAACAATAACTTCCTGTTTGTTCGCTAAGCGAGAGACTGAACCAGATTGTCTACCAGCGTATGAGAAGTGAGGTCTGTGTGACCTTCACAACGCGCTGAAGCAAACTCTGCCTTTCCGCGCTCCCGCACGCAGTATCTATAGTAGCGTAAACTTACACGACGCAACGAGTTGAAACTCGTGTACAGTCTGACCAAACATTTTGGTGTATAGTGTCAATGTATTTTGGATATAACGACGTCTCAAGTTTGAAGAAAAAATTATGGGTAAGTCTTGGAATTTCATTACACATATAATAGAGAGTATATTTTGAATTTCATGACATAACAATCACAGTTAATTTTTATTTGTAAAAATTGCCATAGGTATATTGTAGGAAATTTCATTCTCTTTCAGGCGGTTTTTAGTTCGTATTTCTAAGCTGCACAGAACGGAAAATATGTAGTTTTTTCTAAAAGTCTACAATATTAAAAGGGCAACGTCAATTTAACTCCGGCAGCAGCGCAGTCGTGGGGGGTTTAAATGCCGACTGTTAAAGGTTAATATTGACAGCAAGGTTCCTAGTTGCTCCTCCATGACAGTGCACCACCCCACAAATCAAAGATCATGCGCAATTTTTTGGCCAGAAAAGGATCACAGTCCTTCATCATCCTTTGTATTCACCAGATTTGGCTCCAGCAGATTTCTGGTTGTTCCCAAAAGTTAAGCTGGCAACGAAAGGAAACCGTCACAACACCATTCAGGACATCCAAAGGGAATGTACTGCAGTTTTAAATGTGATTCCACAAAAGGAGTGCAGTGACTGTTTTCAAAAACTTTTAAATCAATTCCAGCTATGTATTGATTCAGAAGGAGACTATTTTGAATAAAAAGAGTGAAATTTTGAAAATAATTCACATCTTGTATTTTTAATGAACACAGTCCTAACAGAACCGGGACACACTGTGTATGTTCCAAAATATTGTTAATAATTTCGGTTTTCCCGTGTCAATGCGATGATGTAAACCATTCCCTACCTCCCTTGGCGCTACAGCTCAGGGTGAGCTTTGGCCTCCTGAACAATCTGCCTCCATTCTTCTGTATTCTTCATCTTCCCCTCCATTTCAGCTCCTTTTCCCTTCATTTTACAGAGAACATCATGTACATCCTCCAACCATCTCAGCTTCTTCGCTGATGTCCATTTCCGTTCAATCCATCCATCTGGCGCTGATTATCTGGTTTCTGAACAATTTAGTTTCTTGTGAGGTTGTTAGCCTCATGCTCAACCCCCAACCTGGAGGACCAAAGTATCCCTCTTCGCCTGGCACCTACCCCTTGGCCTGTCCAGCATGGGTGACTCTACCAGTAGCTATGCTACCACCAGCATAGCTCTCAGGGTCTCAGGAACACTCAGACCCCACCACCATGATAGGTCTAGACACAAATGGTGTGGATATAAACCTAATATTATTAGAAAGTATAAAACTCTTTATTAAGTCCGTCACAACACAACAATACAGTATTCAAGGTTAAGTTAGCTTTGCTACATGTTTTGGCTATTCATAGCCATCATCAAGCAAATACACGATCATCATGTTTACACATTAGTGAACTACAATTGCATGGTAAGTATGGATACTTGACAAGTATCATATTACATGTGTATATACTCGTATATTATCATTTCGGCTATGAATAGCGAAAACATGTAGCAAAGCTAACTTAGCCTTGAACACTGTATTGTTGTGTTGT